GATCCCGGTGGCCTTTATTTCGCATCGGCCCTCAAGTAGCTCATAATGTACTTGACACTGCGCTCGGCAAGTGCATGATCTGTACCTGACCCCCTTATACCCATGTAAGTCCGAACCAAGCCTTTTTTTTTTTTTTTTTTCCTCTCATACTGAACGATGCGGGCTAACTTTCCCTTCACCCCAATTTTTGACACATTAGGTTTCTTGAACTTTCTTTTTGCAGGGTTCGCAATGTACTTTTTTCTGTTAAAAAAAAAAGAAAAAAAAAAAGAAAAAAAAAAAAGGGCAATTGCCCTGAGAAGAGAATCATCATAGAAGTGCCTGGCCCCCAGAATTTCAGGTAATTGAACCGTAATTCAGAATTATTTTAGGCTGTTCATCTATTTTATCGGGATTCGAATTCAGGTCTGTATTTCAGCAGTTCTTGGGTGTACCAACTGAGCTAGGCCCCTTGGTAGTCATCCCGAATTGTTTGTTTTATTGCGCTTGCTCCTGCAAAAACAGACTGTTTTATACAGCCAGTTCCTCCCAGCCTCCTTTTCCTGATGCACGACTTCGCCCTCCCCCAACCACCCAAACGATCATGAGGAAGGGCCTACTGCACCACACCAGCTTTTTTGGTCTGATTGGCTGAGACTTACTGCGACACCATGCTAAACCACCAGTGCATTTCCCAGCCAAAGAATAAAATATGTAGTGTGCATACAGAGGGGCCGCTCAGCCTCCGAATGCGGCGCCAGCCAAAAGGAGGCAGGCGCCGGTTCACACAGCAGGCCGTTCCCAGCCGTGGAGATAAGTGCGTCGGGAGTACTGCTGGTTCAAGACCAGCACCTACTGCAGTTTTCGCACCCCCCGGCCTCTAATGAATTTGGACTGGAGGGACAGGCCGATTCCGTTTCCGCGTTAACGGCCGCCCCAACCGGTCGGTACTGGTGGTCTAACTGCCGCATTCTTGCGGGTAGAGCTGGGCAGGGTGCTGGTGGGTTTAATAGCATGCAGGAGGTGCCCTTCCTAACATCCGCTAAAATGGGAACCGTAAGTTGCACCCCAGCTGTGCACACAGGCATGTGGGCGGGTGCTACCGCACCTCATCCGACTGGTGCGCTCCGCCTGGCAACAGATGGCACTACCGTCTTCACCCGAATAGAACATACTGTCACTTTCGCTGCACCTGGACAGCCAGTTGGGCCAAATACAGACATAATGACCGTACGTTCTATTTGGGAGATGGCACTAGTAGAGGTCAACCTGAAGTGGACCACGAGCTCCATGATCCACCCCTGGATGCCAACTGGCCGCATGGCTGCGGCATATGGCCGATCCACACGGGTGTCGATGACACGAGCGTTTGCCTGGGGAGGGGAGGATAAAACTGGTGGTATAGCTTATGCCAAAGATGTTTAAGACGACGAAAATTAGTCAAAGAGAAACACAGCCATGCTGGTGATGATGTCGCGAGCGTATGCTGGTGTTAAGAGTAGATTACTGCTGGTGATGATGTCGCGAGCGTATGCTGGTGTTAAGAGTAGATTACTGCTGGTGATGATTAGTCAATTAGTCAAAGTGTTGGTAATGTGGGCATATGGTGGTGTTGGTGCGAGCGTGTGCTGCTGCTGCTGATGCGAGCGGATGCTGGCGTTGAGAGTAGATTACTACGATTAGCAAGCTGGGTGAAGGGTGAGGACAAAGAGCCACTTGGATAACGTCGGCCGGTGCTTATGCCAAAGACAAAGTCAGTACGGTACGGAGACGTGAAGATGCTGCAAAGAAACCCAACATAGTCTGCTTGGGATTTTGCGAGAGCTGCGGCCTAACTACCAGTATGGAGGCTGTGACGACCAACGAAAGGTTGTCGGAGAATTTGCAGGCGTAGGTCACCGAGGTAAGTATGGCTGTTGTGGATGCAGTTTTCACGGATCCTGGCTGGACGGAGAAGGGAGGCGATGTCCATGACGACGTGCATGATGCTTTAGACGCTATTATGACGTCCCTCCTGGAGGAGGCGGGAAGTCGGGCTTGCTCGGAAACAGGTAGGTAAAGAATACTGGATTTCAGTTTCATGACTAAGACAAGAGAGAGGGGCAAGAGCGAGAATGGATGGTAGACCCAAGGATGATCTTCTACCGGAGTGTGGAAAGATGAGGGGGGCTGGCAAGGTTAGGTCCGATAGGTCGCAGAAGGGGGATGGAGAACGTTGGTTGGTATATGAAGACGGAGAGGGAGTTGGAGGTGGTGGACGTATCCATGCAACCGCTCTGAAAGAGCATATGATTGGAGACAATTTGGCGACGGATCGAGGACTCCATTGTCTTGAAGAGGTCAGACAAATGTTTAAGCTCTGCGATGATATCACAGATTCACAGTGGAGGGGCGCGCCTCTGCTATCAGAAGTAGCATCAGCATCTGGACCTGGTTTTCTGAGACTCTGGGTATTAGTAGTGGAGAAGAGGGCCGACCAGACCAACAAGAGTTTTTGAAAGGGAGGAGGATTTGGGAGACTGTGTGGAAGGGAACAGGGAATGTCTCTCAGGGTAGCGGAGAAGAGGGCCGACCAGAATGACAACAGTTTTCGAAAGGGAGGAGGATTTGGGAGACTGTGAACGGGAGGAGGATTTGGAGTAAGGAGAGTGTTAATGAGCAGCTTCCTGTTTAGGGTTGTTCTCCCCACTGCCTGCCTTCTGCGAATTGCTCTGCGGATAGGAGAGAATTTTTTGTGCTCTTCGTATGATGGCAGCCATCATATGAAAGATGTGACTACCTTGAGTTTCATTTGTTGGTTCGCGTCATTATTCCTGGAGAGAGAGGAGCTCGTGGGAGATTTGGTGGACGGGGACGGTTACGAGGCATGTTCCTTGGGGCAAGAGAGGCATCGTATTAGAATTTCGTTTGGAGTGGTATAGGGGCCATCGTGACTGTCTTGAGAAGTTGAGATTGATCTGTTGGATTTTTCCTAATTGTCCATCCCAAATAGTCACATTGCTAATAGTCATTCCTAGCCTTGATGAGTGGGAGAGCTGCTGCGGTCAGGGCTGCCTGCACTCTTCACCCGTGTGTCCGAGTTTACGATTGGTTCGTCGGGGCTGCAACCTCAAAACAAATCTGCCAAATATGAGAGGGTGGTGATTTGTATTTGTACCTTCTCATTACTCGTCATTGTATTGCATGGGACTCTGCATGGGACTCTGGACCTGCTTCTCTGGACCTGGTTTCCCACAGGTCCACCTCCCCACCAATAGAATGAGGGAGCACTTGGGTCTGAAAAGAGAAAGAAAAAAAAAGAAAGAAAGAGATTGGTCAGTTGGCCGAGCTTTGCAAGGCGGCAGCTGAAGCATAGCTGTGCGTTGCGTGTTCTCTAAGACACGGGAGTGTCGCTGTTTGTTTTTTTTCTTAATTTTTTCCAATGTGATTGTGATATTGCCCTGCCTCGCTGTGGAGTTCTCCACATATCGATAGGCGCGTAGAAGGTTGGACTGCATTCAGCAAGTCCTTTTCATAAGCCACAACTGTACTTGGCCAGTGAGAATGCTGGCGGCATAACTTAAGCGGCCTGCCGTTGCGTAGCACCTAGCATAAGATGGTAGCGCATCTTATTTTGCCCTCGTGGTAATCCATGGCATAGATCCATCGCTGCTAGCGAGCAGAGATTGTAGCTGTGTTCTTTTGAACATTTACTCCTGTGATCACTGGGTAATCAATGCTGCTCTGTGTCACATAGACCGCTCAAAGTGCTGCAGTTATGCTTGTTATAGGGAACGCCAGACCCGATTTCCAGCAGGTGCAGCTCCCTGCCAATATGATTGGATCCATGGAGAGATCACTGAGGGTCCGGCGTTCCCTATAACAGCTCCCTGCCAATATGATTGGATCGATGGAGCCATCACACTCTATAACACAGCAGGGTCCGGCGTTCCCTATAACGTGCAGCTCCCGATTTCCAGCACGTGCAGCTCCCGATTTCCATCACACTCTATAACACAGCAGGGTCCGGCGTTCCCTATAACGTGCAGCTCCCAATGGCCAACATGATTGGATCAATGAGTGGATTGATGGAGATATATCATTACCGAGCTAACCGCCCCTAGGTAGTTTAGAATACGTAGTGTTTTGGTCATCTGATCTCAGGGCATACTCCCATTACTACGTTTTTGTGTATTTTTGGACGGAACTGTGGCCAAATACATCCAGGTATCGGTGAATGCGGTCAGATACATTTGAGGTACTGCTAGTGCTGAGTACGCCCTCAGAGGCGTTCGAACTGGGGTCTGTATTTCAACAGTCCAGGGGTGTGCCAACTGAGCCAGGTCAGTCTTTGTGTTTCTTTTTTGGTTTTTTGGCCAGTTGGTATGTCTTTGTAATTTTGACGCGACCTTGGACACTTTTCCCCGCAGCATCTGCGTTTTAAAAAAAAAACACAAAACAAACAATAAGAGAATCATACACAGGAGGTTGGCACGGGCCCTGGATGTGCAATATCACATGCAAAACTAGACCCAAGAGGTGGCGTTGTGGTTATGGGAGTGTTACCATCACCACAAAGGTGACAACGCTACATTTCTCCGGTCTCGATAAAACTCTGCTCGCACACCCACACACACACACACACACACACACACACACACACACACACACACACACATGCACGCAGGTGCACACACACACATGGACGCAGGCGCACACACACAGAGAACCTTACTTGCTGCCCATCATTCCCATCACCATCACCAATAGAAAGTGTTCGAGATTCGTATTTCCTGACTTTGTTTTCTCGTTTTCAAATATCGATGATAATGCAATAACACTTCTCAATGCACAACAACAGAGGATGTCGTGCACTCTCTCTTATGCCTTCTTCCCTCACCCCTTACCCTCCCTCTCACCCCTCCGACCCCTCACCCTCATCATCATCATCATCAGCAGCAGCAGCAGCAGAAAGGGCCCTCAAGATGTTCAAATTACCGGAGTACCTCAGCCTGCCACGGGGAGAAAGTTCAATCTGCAATCCTTTTCTTCAATTTTCATTTTCTGTTCTGAGTAATCCATGCCTTTTTCTCACATTCCAATACAGCAGTCCCACACTCACAATGTGCACCTTCACGTCCGACCTGCTAGCACATCACAAAAGCACGCTGTAAAATATAAGCGACTGCATGATGGCTGGTACTCTGCAGCACAACTTTGGTGCACTTCCTGATGGCTATACTCTGCAGAGCCTGCAGTACAAACTTGGTGAAGATTCGGAGTCGGTAGTGCTGTGCAATGACTCACAGAAAAGGATCACAAATCCGCAGCTGAAAGACAACTGGAGCGCTATGATTCAATCACCGATGATAATACAATCACCAGAACTGATTGACAAGAGTTTTATTGGGGTGAATGTGTGTTGGGAAGGGTTCAGAAGGAGGGTCCTTTTCAATTCACAAAAACTCCCGAGGCCTGCAGAGACAGTTGCCGCAGTCAAAAATGTCACTCTGCCTTCTCCTTTACAGAGGGAGGCGAGCCTTCAGCGTGTTTTTCACACCCCCTCGCCTGGAACAAGTCCCCTATCACATGCACACAATCTCTACCTTAAGGTCACCTAAGGGGCTGCAGGAACAACTCTCAACTACTATCTGTTTCTTTGAACTTTCTTCATGAAAGCCTGAGAAATATATGTGCCATCAAGCACGCGCTACAAAACTCCTGCTCGTGGAAATTCTTCTTGAACTGCAGACTCAATCTTGAATGAAAATGAGAAAAAGACGAGAGCATACGGTGGAACAAGTATGGCAACCTAAGTACAGAACCAGCGCGTACGGAACCAGTATGGTAACCTACGTACAGAACCGG